CTCTGTGGGGATGGAGGGATCGCCACTTTCCTCCTCTCCTCTCCCTCACATTCATTCATCCCCTCACTTACTCCCTCCCTTCCCCCATCTGCACACCCCCCCCCCCTCTTCCTTTACTGCAGCAGCATCCTGCTGCTAAAGTGTGGCTCTGTTTTTAAAGAGATGGGGAGCACGAAGGGGCTGAGAGGGAACCTGGGACTGGCGTGGCGCCGAGATCCCTGCCACGCCCAGCAGGGGGCGACACGCCGCGCGTTTCCTGCAGAAACTCCACATTGCAGGGACGCGGCCCTAACCACAACTTGGACATAATGGACAGGACTGCTCACCCCAGGTGGAGGCAGTCAATAGGGGTCCAGGGAACCCCATCAGAATCCACCCTGCCTGTGACTATTAGACTAACGGAGATGCGGCATTCAAGCCGCTGAATTAGCCTTGAGTGAATGTGACCTTGCGGTAAAGATGTGCCCCAACCCCTGGCCGGTCACACCCCCAAGGAATCGGCACCTTTTATCTCGCATCCACAGACACGACTGCGGATGGAAGTGGCCCCGAATTGGGGAAATTACAGCAGCAAAATTTCATGCCACGCCGGACCCCAAATGCACTCGCAGCTCATGTTACTTTCATCACAGCACGTTTATCAGTGCAGGGCCTATCCATCATCCGAGCCCCGTTGCCCGGGAAACACAGTTAGTATTCCGAGTTCCGAGCCCCGTTGCCCGGGAAACGCAGTTAGTATTCCGAGCGCGAGGCCCCTGCGCAGCCGCTCTATGGAGTTTCCATTGGCTGTCGGGGCGGCTCGCTGTCCAAAGGCGTCGACCCGAACGTCGAATTCATGAGTTCAGGAGAGGCGGGGGACTGCGGCTGGGGCTAGAACACACAAACCCCCCCCCCCATTCTCAAATCTACCGTTTTCATTCAGCGATGAAGAGGCAGCCCACAAACTCATTCATAAGCCTTTTCTCGGTAACGGTGAACGAGCTAGAGGGAGGACCCAACCAGCCGCAGAGCCGCCGTTCCTGTCGATCAACAGCCAATCAGGCGAACACCAGAGGTGTGGGTGTGGCCATGACAGATACCACCCCCCCCCCCCCCATCACCATGGTCTCCCCCCCTCAATCTGCCTCTCATTCACCCATTCATTCCATTCATTTTCCTCCTTCATTCATGTATTTCAGTACGCCATGTTTTTAATCGCCCAGCAGAATCCCAGACACGTGACTTTCCTTCTCTCTTGGAAACAGTATCCAAGGAACCTCAGGGGCAGGTAGGGAAGGGAGGGGGCTGTGAATCTCTCCACGATGGCTTATAGATCCATGTCCGTACCAGGGGCCGAAATTCACTCTCACAGGAATGGTATAAAAATCCAAGATGCATCGCAGACGCATAATCATCTTGTTTGGGGAGGGAAAAAAAAAAAAACTGTCAAGAAACGAAACCAAGATGGAGAGTATCTGCCAAACTCAAATCCATAAGACATTAATCTGCCTGGCAAGTTACTGGCATATTGCAAAAGCAAAAATATGCAAAATTATAATCATAAAAATCTCTGTCTCTCTGTCACGACGTTACGGAGCAAACCTCGGAGAAAGTCGATTTTCGGTAAACGAATACGTGTCGAAAACCTGAAGCCATCTCATTCTAGAAAATTCCAGTGCTGCCACCGGGTCTGTTTTGGCACTCGGCTGGGATTGAGGAACATGGCGCATTTGGGCCAAGCCAGGCCGTGTGAGCATGGGGGCCAGGGGTCCCGCAGCAGCGCCAACTCGGGCAGCGGGCGCAGACGTTTGTGTCCGCAGGCCTTTGGGGGGGCGTCCTCCAGCACGCAGGCATATCGCTATGCTGCACTCGTGACATTTCCCCGGGGAGTCGGCCAGGGAGGGGGGTAACCCACCCGGCCATGCTGGGGGGTCACGAGGGGCTGGGATTCTGGGAGGTGGCCGCTGGCCGACTCCCTGCTAGTATCAAAATACCCCCCCCCCCCCCCCCGAAGGCTTTCCCCTGTCTACTTTCCATCCTGTCAGCGGCTGTCAAAATTAATCAAATTTTACTATCTGACGCTGCGGAAAACGGAATCCCCCCCCCTGCTGCTGACATCCCAGACAACCCCCCGACCCCCCCCCCCCCCCATGCTCACCATTCGCCCTCCGCCAGCAGTGACCATCCCTCAACAAGCCAGCGTGGGGAAGGAGTACAAAATAACCGACCCATTAGGTTCAGACAGGCCTGCTGGATCTGCTTACTGCAGCCTGGCATGAAATGAGCCACCATACATTCTGACGCCCCACTCTAAAGTAATGGCAATATGTGCAGGGGAGGGGATACCACATCAAAGAGAGACCCCCCCCATCTCTGCATGAGGATAGAGGGGCAAAACCCCAGCCTAAAATCCCCTCCCCGCCTTTCTAGCTGCAGCCTGATAGTTTTAAACAATTGGACCGCAGGTGCCCGTCTCTCCTGAGCAAGGCCACACGATCGGTCCTCCCTCCGCTGCAGACGCCTGGCGGAGACCTGAAAGCCAGCCAGCTTAATCTGGCAGGAATCTTTGGTGACAAACCAATTAAGGAAAGGCCCCGATTCTGGCCCTGGCACGGCCCCCGCTACGCCCGCCAGCCGCTCCGGTTATCGCCACGCACAAAGCCGGCGTATCCGGTAACGCGGGGCCCTTTCACGGCCTGGAAACATCAGGTCACTGCGGTGGCCTACAAAGGATGGGCCCGCCGGTCACGCTCACGTGACACGCGCATCCCACCGCGGCTCTGGTTTCCAGGCGGTGAGCAATCTGTGATGCGCCAACGTGAGCGTGCCACCAGGGGGCACCACCCCTCATCCAGAGCCATGGATACTTGGGGGTTATCATACAGAGACGTGCATCTAACCAATAGCCCCAAGTCCATCAATGATCCCGACTCAGCAAATGTTCATGGGGAGCATTTTTACTTTTTACTCAATAAACACACTTTGGTTCCATTTGTCTGTCAGCAACATCATAGACCATTTATATGCGCACACACACACACACACACACACACACACACACACACTCATGCATGCTTTCTCTCCCTCGCTCTCTCACACACACACACACACCGTCGGGTAAACATATCTTTATGGGGACCACATTCATTTCTATGGAAAAAATGCTAACGCTAACTATGACAGCCTTAACCCCTACCCAGCCCTAACCATAACCATAAGTAGCCAAGCCGTTTTTGCGTTTTTAGTTTTTTCATTGCAGTCATAGATTTTTATTAAATTGATTTTTCCCTTATGGGGACCAGGAAACTTGGTATTCATTACGTTGTGGGGACATTGTGTCCCGCTAAGCTAAGGTATACCCGCTCGCAGATACACACACAAACAGTTTCATACGCCCCTCTCCCCCCCAGACGGCACAGCTGCTCTCGCTGCTTGGGGAGGGAAACGTGCGAGAGACAAAGAGCTGGAGAGATCGACGGGATGAGAGACGGCCCACCCACGAGCCGCATTGAGCCCATCCACCCGAAGCTCGAAGGGGGGTGGGAGACGGGCCCGTCCATGTGCACAGCTGGCACCGGGCACTCAGGAGAGGGGCTACAATCCGGCAATCAGCCCCCAGTTCCCTGCGTGCTCTATAAAGTCGCCCGTGTATCACAGAGCAGCATGGGGGTGGGTATCCAAGACAGGCAGGTTCAGCTAACTGTGACCACTGGGGACGCGCTACCAGAGACCCAGCGTGCCGAACGTCCGTCCGTCTAGCTGCGCCACATAACACGTCTCTGCACCTGTATGTATTCAGCATGTTTGAATTGGCTGCTACCACGTCCCGCATGTGCAGACACGCCTACACATACTGACATGCGTGCGTGGAGACTCACGGGTTCATAGGAGAACCTGAACACACCCTCGAAGGGGATCCTTTATTACCCTCAACACACTGATAGAGAAACTTAACACGGGTGGGGAAAAAGACGACTGGGGCATAAGGGGTATTCTGCAGTTAGAGTTGTCCCTCTAAGAAAGTAGAAAGTCCCTGTCATTCCCCAATGCATATTTCAAATCCCAAAAAGAACAGTTTTGCATACAAAAAAGATATTAGTTCATAGTGCCGCAAAGCACAAAAGCGCAGCAACAGCGCCATCTACGGGCAGAGCCGTGGAACCGTAACTACTGCAGAAAACGGCATTGAGGTTCAGCCGCAGACTTCTGTTGGGTTTTTTTATGCCATTTCGTGAGGAGTCACCGATTTGCGGAAGGCAACGATCTATTCTGATAAACTTGTACTGTAATCTTATAGTAAAACCTCATATAAAATAAGTACTACTCCATTTATTGAATTGTAATCGCAAAACATGTTTTTAAAAGATCCACAGCGCAATAATACTGTTACGTAAGGACAAATCTTTATCACACGGCTGCCTTATTTACATGGAATAAACGTTTACAGAAACGTCTTTCTACTGAGAATATTTCTCAGATAATATTCTGATTGCAGAAAAAGAAACGATAATTGGCCCACAAAGTCAGTGAGCAATGTATCTCGGAACACAACGATAAAATTAAGCATCAGTAATTTTGGGTAGTTAAAGATTTGGTATGCCTAAACCTGCGGACACTTCGACATAAACAGAAATGAGCGTTTACTCTGCAGTAATATACTTGGGGGGGGGGAGCTACCCCAATACAATAACCTTAAAAAATGTTCATATATGGCTGCTACTCAGTTTAAACGAATCGACTAAAAACGCGAAGGATACCCCAGCTCCAAATATGCATTTAATCCAAGGACGAAACCAAACCCGCATTCGTCTCGCCTTTGGCTATCACAGGGGCGTCCAGGGGACACATCCTACGTCTATTCTAATCATTTAATCAACTCTGCGGTTACAGCGCCTCCTGGTGACCGCTTAGAATCTGAAACATGAATAAGTGGAAAAATCATATGTCCGTATATTTTAGTACTTAATATTTTCACTGGATGTCTTTGCAGTGTGACATCATCAAATACATGAAATACATACCCAGAATAAGTATGGCATCGTCCTTCTTGACGTGCTGCTCAAGTAAGTGCTGGAATTTTGAAAGGTCTCCGAACCACTCGAACGACTCCTCTCTCCTGTACCTCTCATCCCAGTATCCCACGTCTTTATATCTCGAATTGCTGTCGGGCAAATACTCCATCGTATCGCTGTTGTATCTTTTAACGGAGTTACTGCCCTGGCACCCTTTTCAGACACTCGTCTTCAGACACTTTTAGAGTCCAGTCGAAGAGTTTTCATAAAATCGAACGGCACCCTGAACTGAACAAGATCCAGGCGTGTTAAAACGACATTTCTTTTTGGAAAGTTACGGAACGGTGTGTGCAGACGAAACTGCAAAATTTACCAAGGTGAAAGCAGTCCTTCTGTTTTGATGTCTATCACTGTTGAAAAATTACTCTGACATCATATACAGTTAAAAAACGCGCGTCAGCAAACCCACGTGTACTAGCTGACACCGGCAGCTCTCCGGCCCCCTCACCTGTGTCCGCATCGCCGCTTGTGCAACGTCATTTTCCTTCCCTCTGGAAACAAGGAGCCGTGTTACGCCTTAATGTTCTCGGGTCAATTAAATGACGGCGTTTTTATTTCTAATGTATATTAATACAGTACTATACTAGTAATTAATATACAGAAATATATTCAGGGGCACATTGACCCTAACATACCCTAACAAATTCAGGGAACCCAGTACTTTACATATATATTACACAATATATAATACAGCTAGTAACATTTATGTGGCGGTATAACAAGAACCAGAAATGTAGGAAACAGTAAATAAATAAAGGTAGACTAATTAGAATCTTCGCAAATGACTGATGAAACAAACAGCGATTGTAATTTATTCGTCAGCTGCTAGTACTGATATGTTTAATGTTAAAGCAGGATATATATTTTTTTCGCCTTTTAAAAACGACTTACGTTTTTAACGTACGTTACCTACGTTATTATTTCTGTTAACGACTACATAAAAATAAAAGGGGGCAAACTGTAAAGCAAGCAAGACGAATTTTTACTAATTTTGTTTATGTATTATAATATATAATAAATCGACAATTTGATAGAGGACCATTAATCGACCGTTCAAATGGAATAGAAACTACAACAACCATTATACTCCATGACCCAGCATTATTATTACAAGACAACTGTGAGGCAAAACTTTCTGTAATTTGTAGTTTCAAACATAATATTTAGGTCAGTATTTTCAAACAGTCAATTAAGCGGTTAGTGGGAACAAAAACAACATACACAGGAGTTCCCAAAACAAGGGCTGGTACACAATCAGGACTGACAAACACCATTCCTCGACACCCATAGCTGTTCAATTGTAGAATCTGCGTGATAACGTCAAAATTTATATGATTATTTTCTCGGCCACTAGGGGGAGCATGTCATTACACAAGAGAGTATATCACTACCACTATAACACTATATCGGAATAAAGTACTGATAATCAATACATTCACGCTTCTTCCCAGCTACTCATCCAATAGGGTTACCAGGATAAGTAAATATTTATGAAATGTTAATTCAAACGCCATGTGATCATTTTATTCATATACCTTTACACAGCCTATACTGTATATGTGTTGTAAAGTTTTGAACTGAACTATTGGCAGCTCAACATAAGGATTGGGTCTGGTAGCTTTTGTCATGGGTGCAAATTACGGGGAGGATGGGGGGGGTTGTAGCCCCCCCTATAAATCAAAACCAGCTAATATAACTTCCCCCCCCCCCACCCCACAATAATCATGTTTCCCCCGTAATGGGTGGAGACCTCAAGTCCTCAACACCCCCAATATTCCAGCCAAAGTTACGCCCTTGGCTTTTGTCGTTTCTTTCAGAAACCAGTGAGATCTTCAGTGTGCTTAGTTTTTTCTCTCCATAAATATTATTTACAAATCGGAGAGAAAATTATTATATCGCGCATTTCAATTTTTTAACACACGACTAGGCCAAGTTATATGTAATTAATTCTATGCTCGATGAGATATTGATAGGCCTACAATATAAATTGCATTTTTGGTAGAATACATCTTTAATAAAACACCACCTGCAAAAGTCGGAGAAAAGCAGTGTTCTGTTTTACCTCTCTACGGGTTTGAAACAAATGCTGTGAGATTTGAAGTTTTGACCTAGTTCTGGTCAGAACGTTTTTGGCCTCGATCCCTTTGAACTCATAATTAAAATGTTTCGCAACTGCTTTAATGATATTGTTTTCTGGTCACGTCATGGCTGTTTCGCATATAACTTTATTTCGATTATATTCCCTTTATCATTAGCGGTCGAAAATAACAAGATGTATCACTTTTCCCTTTATGATTACAATATTCACATGGTAAGTGAATGGGCCGTTACTTTTACGACAGTAGTTAATCGCCCACTAGCGTAATAGTTCAATCATGAATGTATATGAGGATTTACGTATTTATAAGTTATCCCTTTCTGTTTAATTTTCTTTTTTGTACCAAAGGAATATTCTAATAACTTTTTTTTGCCATACGGAAAACTTGGAGTGGAGCGGCGTCTTGTTGAGGAGGGTATAATGGGGGCGCTGAATAACATTTTAACATATAAAAAAAAGTTCAGGTCTGAAAAAGCTATTTTCTACACTTATAAACGTGCATCTGAACTGTTATGCTGCTGATGCGTCTGCATGCCCCCAGATGTTTTTGCACACGTGATGTTAAATAATGTTAACTCTCCGATCGCGGTGTAGTTCGCTCCGCCTGGAGAGGGTCTGCATCGGGTTGAATCCTCTGTACCACGTGGGGTAGATGTGTAATGACAAAGTCCCGGCGGAGCCTGACATTCCGGCGCACGGGCATGGGGATGGCGCGCCGGCTCCGCTTCACACTAATCGCCATGCGTCGCTATTTCTGCATGTAACGCCTTTAAAATCGCCCGTTTGCTTTCTTTTTTCTTTTTCTTTTCTTTTCGTTGATTTTTAACTAAAAAAATGGCTTGGCCGTGCATCAGTAGGGTGTGCTGCCTGGCTCGGTTCTGGAACCAGTTCGACAAATCCGATCTCTCGGTGCCGCTGACTATCCAGAACTACTCCGAGATCGGGGAGCAGGAGGTGAGATCAGTAGCCAAGCACGTACCGGCGGGCAGGACGCAGAAAGCCGAACCGTCCGCCCAGAACCAGAGAGCATCACTTACAGCAGCGGAGGCGGGGAGCAGGAGATCATTGCGGGGACGGAAGGAACCGAGCTACAAGCCCCGAGAGGACTACCGTCCCCCCGACGTGCCTTTTCAGAGTGTCACTCAGTACAAACAAGATTTCAAGCCCTGGCCCATTCCTAAAAGGGAGAGTTTCCCCTGGATTACCAATGGTAATAAGGAAGACTCCCCTTTGGATAGTCCAAAAAATGCGAAGCAGCACAAAAGTGCGAACGAGGATCGAAGTAGGCAGAAGCGGGGCGATCAGTCGCTGGGGGCGGCCAAAGGAAGCTCATACAGGTACGTGGCACCGGAGCTGTTCCTTCAGCACCGAAACCAGGGCGCATCTGTGCACCGGTACCAGGGACAGGAGCGCGCCGCTCTTTTAACTTTCTCCCTAGCAGTATGTTTAACCTGTAGTGTACTTTTGATAATTGTGAAATTTACAGATTATAACATTTAATAACTAAATTCTGTTCTCTTTTAGTGTAGACAGTACTTGTATTTTCATTATCGTAGGCTATTTACTACATACTTTTATCTTTAATGAAACATTTTCACTTGGATACACGATGCATAAATATTTTCTTCTGTGCGTACTCTGTTTTCGGACTTGATACATTTTAACACCGCAAATGAATCCGCCTATAGTCGCTTGCAGGGGCTCAGGGAAGCCAGAAAGGAAGATGCAACAAGCTGCTCATTATAACGCAGCGGTTCTGAGGACCGGTTTTAAAATATCGCAGAAATTTAACGTATAACCCAGATTATCAACGAATAGTATATTTAGTTGGTCGCCGGAAGCAGATTTTTTAATATTAGTAAGCAGGGGAGAATCTGCACGAGTTATAAATAGTCTATCACCTGATATAACCCATTGCGCTCAGTTTTCCAGCACCCTCTCCAAACGCGGTCGCGCTGAATTTTCTCCCAACTCGACTCATCGCGAACCGCGGCAGCCCCGATGGACTTCATTACCCCGCTGGATAATTTGTGCCAGATCATTAGTAATTATCTTTTCAATGATTGGCTTTTCTGCCCGGAGAAATTTATTTCCGCCTGTTTTTTTCCCCCCCTAAGTCCGCAGCGTCTGGTACTGCTGCCTTGCAGTAATAAATGGTTTTTTGTTTGAGACCCTTTTTTCGTCCCCTCCCTTTTACAAGGAAGGCAACGAGCCTCCTCTCTTATGGTAACACATCAAATAGGGAGGATATGCGCATCGACGTCACGGATGGGGTGACCTGATTGATGACAACTTTTGAAAAATGGAAATAGGGACAGCAGTATAATTTTAGTTTTGTATCACACCTTTTGTGACCGTGCGGAGATTAATCTATACCTTAGCTGCTTACTGGCCATATGAACCGGTTCTTTATATATATATACACACCAACTGCTGTGTGTGTGCCTGTATATATATAACCAGCAGGTAGTTTGATAGTCATGTAACTGTGCCAGAGAGATTGCATCAAACCCCAAGTGGCTATGCTGTTGTACCTTTGAAGAGAAACTGCCTGATCATCTTATGGCTATTTTTTATTTCATCATCCTCCCCCAAGGCATGAATATCGGCCCTGGTCTGGAGTGAAATCATCCAAACAGGTCCGTAAGAAGCCCCCCCTCAGCACAGCCGACCTCCCACCTGAGACCAGCTACCGGGCAGCCTTCAGCGGGGACTCCTTCAGGCAGATGGAGGTGCTCCATGTGGACACCACCGGAGCCTCACGAGGCGATCTGCCTGACGGGCCGGACCTCATCCTCGGGACCAGGGCAGAGGTGAGCCCCGGGGGTACTTCCATCGCGGTCCGATTCGGCGCTACCAGTGTCACATGATTTATCATTTTCAGCAGAAATATATGTAATTACACATGTAATACATTAACTTTTAAAAGCATATTACTGAGATGTTTAAGATAAATTTGCTATGAACATTAGTGAATCCATTCATCCATTGACTACTTATCCAGTTCAGGACTGTGGAGTGCAATTCTCTTTGTTTTTTTAAATTTTGCAAATAATGTCTGCAGCTTGGCACCAAAGCCCTGTGACACGGCTGTGATCAGGGCAGGTGGAGGGGGGAGGGGGGGGGATTAAGAGACGGAGGGTCAAATGGTGACTTCCCTTGAGGTGTCATCTTGCCTTCCAGCTTGCGCCAGCTCCAGCTAACCTGGAACAAGCCCCACAGCTTTTAGCATAGATCAATCATCTTTGGATTAATGGTTTCAGCACTCCTGGACGTATTACACGAATGCAGCTGTCAGTGACCAAAAGCACAGCACGAGTCGGTTTGATGAATGCACCACAATGTACGGGCCTAACATGAGAATGATCCTGAAAGTGTAGATGCTGTGAGAAATATTGCTGAGGCACATTTAAAGTCCAAAAAACACAGTGGTAGAAGTCCCAGCTTCTGGCAAATTAGAGTTTTAAACGATTTACTGCTGGGAGTCTCTTTTTCGTGAAAAGGGTGGCTGGAGAAGGTTAGGCCAGCCGGACAAATGAAGTCTGGAGGGTGACGGAAGCACCAAACCCTGGGGCCAGGTTTGATTTAGCATTTTCAGACTGATCACGGAGCTCATCGGATGTCAGATGAGAGGGAATATGGAGACACACGATGTTATTTTCATTTGGTGCTGCCTGACACACTCCAGTCCGCATGAATCGAGAGTGCAGGAGTAGCGCCGGGCCTCACCGGAACTGCGTCATCCGCGCGCTAAAGGAGGAGTGCAGTGTAGGTGAATCGCACCCTACAGAGGGCAAATTGATAAGTAGGGCACGCCGAGCCCTGGGGGCCCAAATTAATGTGGAATGCAGCACCTGAAGTCCGCCAAGCTCGATGTACATTTTAAGTTACTTCAACGTGCATTTAGCTTGGCACTAGGGTGGTGGCCAATTACTCATACAGGATCAGCTCACCGAGTGAAAGTCTAAACTGCTCCACTGATGGTGGGTGTGACGACACCAGGAAAGCTCAGAGAAACGCTCTGCTCACTTCCGATCCCAAGAGATAACGCTCCCTCCCTGCAGAACCATTTTCACACTTCCTGAGACCAAAACAGCGCTTATGTAAAACAGACGGAGGGTTTACTGTTCTCCGATTTTACTGTCTAAGCTCATTCACTCACATGTCCTAGTTCTGCTCCCTGTTCTCCCAAAACCCTGTACTTGAACAAAAGACGGCATCTACGCTCCACAGAGGTTGAGGCAAGATCAGACGGTTCAGTTTTTCTAGAGGGGTCATTGAGTTGCGGGGGAAAGGCGCCGTTTGTGACCCATAAAACTCAGACTCTAGCAATTCTCTTACTTGCGGTCTTGCTCCAGAGGACGCTTTGCTCAGGGAACGGCTCCCGGTGCACCACAGCTTTCAAATGATAGATTATTTTCCATTCTGTCTAAGTGCAAAATCACTGCAGGCTTTTCAGCAGAAATCATCATGAACCGAGAGTGGAGATGGTAGCGAGTGTACGTTTGGGGGGGGGGGGGGGGGGGGCGTTGCTTTTCTGGAGTCTGACTCACTCATTTTAAAGCAGTTTTTACCGACTGCGCCAAAGCTAAAACATAAGCCCTCAGACACCCACGGCAAACACTGTATCTTTTATATCTGATCATAAGGTAAGGACTTGAATTTCAGCACCATCCATCCATCTGTGCTGGTCAGGGTGGGGCTAGACCTGACCCTATCCCAGTAAGCACGGTCAGGACCCAATGCTGGGCTACACTCTGGATGGGAAACCATCCGCCCCAGAGGTGAGAAACAACAGTACTGATCACTGAGCGACGAAGCTGCAGCACACACAGCACCGGAACCTGCAGAACTCATTTTGGAGGGGAATCAGCAGCACTGATTGCTGGAAACCATATTCTATCCAACCATAACCCTGTACAGCCCCATATCCTACACTCTCAGAAAAAAGATGGTTCCCCAGAGTCCATTTCTGTACCATTACCTGCAGCTAAGGGTACAATTGGCAGACCCTTGAGGGTACAGCCCCAGTGGGAATCAGAGGTACACATTTTTACCCTTTTTTTTACCCTGTATCCAACCATATCCATACCCGTTCCATCTCCTAACCTCACTGCTCTCTGTGCTTCAAATTGATTGATTCATTTCCTTTTTTCTTTCAGGAGCAGCTGGTTAAAACAAAGCTTTCCCCAAACCCCTCCGCTGTATTTCAGAGTGGATCCAGAATCTTCAATATATGACCAGGTCCCCGAAACATTCTGTGGTCTGCTGAGAGGAGGACAGTGGGCTTAGTTACCCCCATATAAGACAACTATGCAAGAGATCCCAGAATGCAGTGTCTGTGTACAGTTTGCTGTTCGTTAGATTCAAAGTTTAAAAGCTTAGAAACCGCAACTTGTGGAGTCAGTCAGCATGTCACAAATTAAACTGTCATATTTTTCTCCCAATTTGTTAAAATGTTTTAACTACAGCCCTGTGAATGCGTTACATGTTGGTGAGCATGAAACTGCTCACCAGATTAACCGGAATGACTTTTTTCCCTGGTTTGCATCTTTGATTAATGAAAGCTATTTTTTTAGTGTATGTGAAACGCAGTTTGATATCCAGTGAAGTACCCCTTTAATGTCTGCTAGATTTTTATTAATGGGATAGCAAGCCTACCCAGCCCAATTTATTTAATTTTTAATGACTTCGGGACATAAAAAACTACAAATACACTATAAATACCTTTTTTTCTTTTTTAAGGTATGTTTATGAGATGTGATTAATAGGTATGGAGTAAATAACTACATTCTAAGTTCAAATAAAAGAGTGAGTTTTAGATGTTTCCTTTTGAGTTTATATGATGTATGGTTCAAAGTAAATGGCTGGTTTTTCTTTCAGCAGTCCAGAAAAATGGGAAAGATTATTTACAGTGCTGTGTTCAGCAGAAGGGCTGGGGACCTGGCTTTGACAAACGGGAGCTCGGGGAGGCTCTGCATGCCGGAGCAAAAAACACACTTCATTATTTTTATTATTATTTTATAGCAAAGCCGTTAGAAACAACAGCACTAAGCTCCGTCCACTGAAGACTCGCTACGCCATGCGACCCCGATATTCTAAAGCTGCTGCATTCTGGCTCGGCCAGTAATCTCTATAAATCCGCCCTTAAAAGAGTCAATTCTCAATTATTAAAAAGACAGCTGTCCATGACAGCGAGTCCCGAAAACCCTCCATGCAGAGCACAGTCTGACATACCGACCCCCCCCCCCCTCGGCCAGCAGCAGTGCCAAGGAGGCTTCTGGGAAGAGCTTGTCCTCTTACTGTCCGTCACCCAGTCCTCCCCACTTCTCCTTTACCTTATACGCCAGAATAAATCATAGAGGCTCCTCCACCCCCTTATGGGAACAAAATCCACCTAGGAGACGCCAAGCAACTTCTGCTCCATTTCTCCCTTCAGGATGACAGATACGGCTGTCAGGCTTTTTGGGGGGAAAAAAAATCTAATTCGCTTACCAACTTGTAAAATGATTATTTGCCATCCCAGTGAGAGCAGGCAGGGATGTGCTGAGAAATACTGGCGCTCTATGGGCTTCTAGATATTGGGGGGGGGGGAGGCATGAGCAATGAGGCTTTAAAAGCCACAGCGGGCAGGTATGTTGTATGCCGTCAATCACCAACATGGGTAAACCATGGGAAGGAATCAGGCAGTGACAATGCACAAGATCCCACCCACTGCAGCTTTCAAAACCAAATCCCTCGTCACTTGGAAAAAGACTTAATTATTATTAATTAAAAAAACCCTGCCTTCAAAACTGGCCTTCCAAGCCGAGGATGCTTCCATATTTGGAAGATAGCATCGTCATGTGACAGAGCATCGTCATGTGACAGAGCATCGTCATGTGACAGAGCATCATCATGTGACAGCCATCTGCACGGAGAGAAACACGCAAACCACACAAGCCAGACTCAAAAAAGCACTTTAAATAACTTTTTCATTTTTAATACAAGAATATTAATTCAGTTTTCATGTGTGCAGGGAATGTGGGGAGAGGTCAGGACCATAACCCAGCTTATCACAGAACCAACAGACTCGCATGCATTCCTTCTGGAAGCTTCTCTACTCTCTGTTCTATAAAGGCAGGACATAAAACGCCGCGAACCGTAACAACAGTGCAGCAGTCAGTCTCCTGCATACACTGTCATATTTTAGCCAACAATATATTACAGGAACACCTGTGTTAAAAACAATACTTCCAATATGTTCTCTAGTTGTCGTGAAACTAAAAGTCATAACTAGTTAGGTCACTAGTTAACTCTCCTATTAGATTTAATTTGTTCTACAGGAATACTGATCATAAAATATGAGGAAAGTAATCTTATTGTGTAAATAACACGCTTTGATGAGACAGTATGTCACTGCTGTAAAATTGCCGGTGAGCAGCGAGGTTTGCCACACACGCCATTCTTACAGCGTTTTCGCGGAATTCCAACACACCAGGAAACACTGGGACGGGACTGTCGTCGGCAACCTCTGGACCAGACAGAAGATACGAGTGTTTATCACGACGGCTGACTGAAACCAGAAAGCCTACACAAATACTTTTAAAACATTGATTCCGTTATGTCACAATGCTATAGTGATAAAACACTGATAAAAGGCTCTGGTGGGGGGGGGGGGTAATTGTAGGTGGGGGGAATGAAGGAGCATAGGTAAGTTCATTCACGCACTGATAGGAACCACAGAAGTTCAAGGTTGAAGAAGCTACCCTACTTAGCTTAGCGACCACTGAATGTCAGTCATCCTCTGACTCTCACCCTCAGTCCTCACCTACACAGTCAGCATGTTCTGATATACCTTTTAGTGCGTCTTAGATTTGACCACAAGGGGTCAGTCAATGAGAAATGGCAGAATTCCTGCAGCGCTCAACATGGAAACCGTACTGGCCCGGGTACGAGATGGGCAGCGGTCAGGAGCTCCGTTCAGCCACAGCTCTGCATGCCAGAGAGACTGAGCTGAAGAGACGGGACCCAAGCGGCAGGCACTAAAACCGGCAGGGGCTTTGTTTGTGGCCCTTTAGGTCAACCAGCGATGACCCTATTACCATTCTTACTGCTGCTTACTGAGCGCCAATCTCGGTCTCAGACCACAGTAGAGGTCCTCATGCTCTGGGATTAAACCGAATCATGTCGGCCACCTTGACAGGGGCTGCGTGGGGACACGCCCCTGCATGGCCCACCCCCTGGCCACTGGGCATGCTCAGTCTGTGTGGGCCTCATCCTTCACCAGGCAGCCCATGTACTTGTTGGTCAGGAAGTCGCAAGCGGCAATGCCAGCTACTGCCTGGTGGACATCTATGGCCGTGATCTCCCTGGGAGCCCTGGGGGGGGAGAGGGGGCAAACTTTAATTAGAGATGGGCGATCCACATTTTTTCAGTTCCGCTCCGATTCCGATACACAACTACCAATACCGATACAGATTCCGATACAAGAGCTCTTTTTACTTTGTTATACTTTATATATGAATTTTTTTAAGCTAGTAAATACAGATGGAAAAAATGTATGACAAAAAATATTTAATTAGGCTACTACAAACATACATAACGTACTGTTCCCCCTCGTTTGTTTTAAGCGTTTTTGAGGCATTTGCAGTTCAATATGAATATCTTCAAAGCAAATATACACAAGTGGCGAATGCTTAAAATTTAACACAGTTTTTCTCCCATTGGCGTCGGCTCAGTTACACTTTTGTTGCGAGGGCAGCTCTTCTTGTATCACAAGCTGCAGCGAGTTCGCAAAACAGTCCAGGTTAGCGACTCCCAAATCATCCATTGCTTTGTTTTGTCTGGCAGTTCCGTGCGCTTTAAATGGGATTGTCCATTAAACGCTATTCCCACCTCAAAACTTTATTTTACATAAATTGCAAATCGCTGTGCTACTGGTTTCTGTTAAAAGCGTATAATACTCCCAGACTGAGGTTCAGAAATGGCTGTGAGAATGCATGCTGCAGTATTAAGTGTGGGGGGGGGGGGCTCTGACCTGTTTTGTGGAGCTTTGAGGTACGCCCCAGCGAGAGACTCCCTCAGGACCTCACTGGCAAATTGCTCCACCGCCTGAACCCCCCAGGGAACGCAAGAGAGATCATTAAAAGAGTCACAACAATGATGCCCGAGCAAACGTTTACGTTCCGATTTTCACATGCGTACATACACACACGCACACAGACACACACACAGTCACAGACAGACACACACACACATACATACACACAGATACACACACACAGACACTCACACACACACGCACACAGACACACACACACGCACACAGACACACACACACGCAGACACACACAGACACGCAGACACACACAGACACACACAGACACACACACACGCAGACACACACACACACACAGACACACACAGACACACACAGACACACACACACGCAGACACAGACACACAGACACACACGTAGACACAGACATACACACACACACACAGACACACACACAGACACAGACAGACACACACACACACATACATACACACAGATACACACACACAGACATAGAAACACAAACACACATAGACACGCACAGACACACAGGACTGCATGCAGGCTGGGTCACACCCCCTCACGGGCATACTGCAGTGCACAGGAGGTGTCCCCAGGCCTGTTGCCACGGTGATGCCAGGCAGGCTGTGGGCACTTGTCCTACGTACCTTCAGGATCATTTCCTCGACCACTGGGGCGTAAACGTTCTTCTCCACCTCTACCGGCTGGAAGGAAACTCCGATCTGGAAGAGAGGACAGCCAGTGAGGGTCCGGCACACGGAGCCGGGCCGGGGGTCAGCGATACCCCTGCAGACCAGAGGGGGCGCGCACCTGCTGGGCAGCGTCTCTGACAAAATGCGAGGTGGCCGACGGGCCCAGGTAAAAGTGGGACTCCTGCTCCTCGCCCAGCTCTTCCTGCTTGACCCGCAGCTGGCAGGCGGGCTCGGCCACGCCCACGATGTCCAGCGGCTCATCCTCCGGCTCCGCCTCCGTCTTCAGCAGCGCCTGCAGCTCCTCCAGCCGCTGGCACAGCTCCTCCGCATCCAGCAGTGTCGAAGGGCATTCTGGGAAATGCAGGCAGCTGGTGTCACAAACATCCCACATCTCTGCTTTCCATTCAAGCACTTTAACACAGTGTCTGTTTGTGACAGCAATTTTTTAATGGATCCGATACTGCTTGCAATATTAACGCGCATCACCAAGGCAACGCTGTCTTAGTACACAGGACAAATACTTATAATTATTACTAGCAAATATCAGTAACACTGACATTTGCTTGCCTGCCTATACGATTCCCACATTCTGATTTTTACAGTTGCATTTCAACTGACTGTATACAGCAATATACGTTGCCTCTGAAAAAAGAAAACAAAAAGAATAAACAAACCTAGAGATTTTTTAACACCCAAAGGACAAACTCTAACTGCGTGATTCTGAACGCCTCGGGGGGCAGGAATCACAGGCCCCGCCCCCTCCCCACAAGAGCCCGGGGCAGCTCACACGATTCATTCACAGAGTGCTGATTACAGGACAAAGCCCCCCCAATACTGGGAGACATTATGCAACGCCGCGAGCTTGGCGACGCGCAACGGCGGCCAGAATGTATTCAGGACAAATGGTCCCATCTGAAACGGACCTCAGCGCCGGCGTTGTGGGCCCGGAAACAAAAGAAAACCACAATGCAGAGCCAAATAACGGGAACAGATGGGCTTACAGTACAGCCAGCGGGTCTGTTAGGAACACAATAAAAAGGCTCTTTAGTAATTTTCATAAGAGTGGCTCTGGGATTTGACATGTGACAGACTGCATTCTCATATCCCACCCAGAATACTCTAAGAAGGGATTCAAACCTATGACCAGACCTCAGTGCTGGGAGAGATTGGGCTCCAAACCTGACAGTGGGTGGGATTACAGTCTTTACCTGCCTGATTTTCAGTGCTAATCCCCCTATTCCTGGTCATTTTTCCCCACCCCTTCATACACCATGTTTAAGTTTCGACCCCACAACCTCCTGGTGCCGATGACGCACTCTCACCAGGCTCGCTGTCGATCTGGGTGAGGATGTCCTCGATAGAGTCCTCCTCGCTGCGCTGGGGCTCCGGGTCGGGGGGGGTGTAACCCCTCTGCCTACACCACTGCACCACCTCCCTGGTCTTAGGGAGGGCACTGGCCTGCAGGCCTGGGGATTTCTCCAGCACGTCCTGGACGAGCCTCTTCACAGCCACGGCTCGCTGGAGCTGGGAAAGCAATGTCACCAGGCACCATGCTTCTAGACCTACTTCTGCTTTCGCTGGCCTAATTGCAGCCATTACTTGGGCAGTAAGGTGAAGTGTAGGTGAATTACAGGACATATACACAGTAAAAGGAGATTCCATCATGCACGGTCTCAAACCCTTTGGCAAGCAGCGGGCAGTAGGGGGCACTGTACAGTGATACCTCAGCAGCGCGCCGCTTCCCGATGTTCCAAGAGTAGTACTGCTCCAGTGAGTCGGCGCAGAAGGGGGCCGAGTCCTCGGCTGCGGGGAACACAGGATACATCAGTGATAACCTCAGCTGTGCTCCCTTGGGTATTCGCCCCAAAGGCTGCACACGGAGCAGCATGCATGCGGATCTTACTCTTCTCGGGGACGATCAGCGGAAACTTCTTCACGGCAGCTGTCAGCAGCTGTGGCAGATTCTCTATGTGCTCCGTGCTAATTGGAGGAAAAACAAAATGGGGGCGGGGTCTCAGCAAACAAATCATAAAGCTCGGACGAACCAGCAAACGAGAGAAGCGAGCAGAGGACTCGGCTCAGTACTCGATGAGGTCGTGTCCCGACTCCGTTCCCTGCTCCTGCTTGACGGGCCCGGGGGCGGTGATGGGGGCGGAGCCTTCTGCACCCGGAGGCGGGGCAGCACCAGCAGGGGCTCCAGTCACGCCGGGCTCCGTCTTCACTGAGGGCAGGAACAGAACAGGGAAGGATCAGCTCCCCATCCGCAGTCATGCGAGGAACCAGATGCTCATTTGCACACCGCCTCTAACCTTGAGTGGCGGGGGGTACTGCGGCGGCGGTGGGCAGGGCTGGGGGCGTGGCCGCACTCCTGCCTGGCGCGGTGGCGGGGGGAGCAGCGGCGGCCGCGACTGGGGTGGAGCTGGCCAGAGCTTTCACGGTCGAGCCTGATGGTACCACTGCAAGAAGCGCAGGACCAAGAGGCACCTCTCATTACACATCATCCTCTTTGTTAGGCCAGCCTGAAAACAATGCCGATGCAGTGCGGCACATGCTTGCGGGGGCCCTGAGAGAGGCCCCCAGAACCTGGCAGAGTGGGCTTATTCCCACGCCGTCCCAGGTCCCGATCCCCCAGCACATGCAGTCCCTCACCTTTGCTGACAGGCATCAGGATGGTCTGCAGACCCCCCCCAGAGGAGCTGCTCACCCCCAGCTGCTTCAGCTGGTTGGCAGGGATGGTTAGCACAGTCTGCTGGGCACTGGCCTGGCCAGAGTGGATCTTCAGCATACCTTTGGGGGGGTGGAGAAACTTAAAATCAATGGGCACCACACGCTGAAATCTCTACACAGTGCCACGCCATCGGCCAGCTCTCACCTGACAGAGCAGCGGGTTTCCCACTCACAGCACCCCCTGCTGACGGGACCAGGGAGGTGGTCGCGGCGACGAGGGAGGGGCCAGCGTTCTTGGGCGTACCCACCAGGGATGCGGCTGCCCCCTTGGACAGGCTGATGACCGGCACGTTCACACTCTTGGCGACGGTCACCACGGCGGCCGGGCCGCCTCCCTTCGCCATGACAACAGTGCCCTTAGGGGTGCCACTGATGCCCGCTTGACTGGCCGCTACCAGCAGCGGGTGCGGGGCGACGGCTTTGCCGCCGGATGGCCCGGCTGAGCCGGAAGACGGGCCGGACCCCTCGGCAGGCTTGAGGAGAGGACAAAAGGTACAAGAGGATGTGAAGAAGGAACTGGGGGGGGGGGCACTAGTGCAAGGGGTGCTGCAGATCCCCATCGAACTAGTGAATCTCACTGTGACATTTGTCATTTTGACTTTATTAATATAAAATTGGTAGGTAGGTAGCCTATGGTAGGCTGCAGCTTAATTCGCTTATTGAAAACGATCCGACGTCACTGCCATGGTAACGCGGACAGTCGCTCACTAAACGGCAGTACGAGAGTTTCGAGAGCAGTAATGAAAAAAGCGGCACGATGCCCGGCTTTGAGATCGAGGTGGTTGGAACAATTTCACCAGCTGCGGAATTAGGACAAAATGACACTCATTCGCAGTTAAACCAACGAGTCAGGCGGGTGCACTAAATTAAAAATTAATTAAAACCGGACTTTTGATAGACAGAGGTTGGGGTTGTTGTATCAGGGGATCGACGGGGGCTGGTGTTGGTCTCTGCAGGCTCTGAGGGTTGGAGACGCTGACCTGCTGGGAAGGGGTTGCTGTGGCGACCCCGTGGGGCATGACGGCAGAGCTGGGGGCCGCCACCACGCTGCCCGCCATCCTCAGCGCGGTGCCGCTCGGCTTTGATAGGTGAGCTGCTGCCGCCACAGTCTTCACAGAGCCGTCCGACAGCTTCACATGGGAGCCCTGGGACCCGCCCACCACCTGTCAATCACAAAAAGCAGCACCCTCATAGGGTCTCCGGAACCCAGCCTTACCCTATGACGGCCCGGAATGTCCCCGATCCGTTTCCGCTACACTATCCAAGGATACAACTGCAGTTCCCCTGCTGAGATCCGAACGTGCAACCTTTTTCAAATAACACAACCCAAAATGGTTACCTACAGCCGTCCAAAACGAAACCACTGGAATGACGGACCTGAATTTCTGGGTTCTGGTATCGACAGCCCCTAATTAGAACACCATGTACCTGATGAAATCAATCACACCCATCTATGACACACATGCCTGGTGTGTCACAGCAATCTGCCTGACTATTGATGGGATGAGCATTCGGCTGTCAGGGAGAGGCGGGAAGCCAGTGATGGCTGCAGGCCTGCAGGAAGCGGCGTATCGATTCGGGTGACGCGTCACCAGACGAGTGACCACACCGCGAACCAGTCCGACTGGCATTCCAGGACAGGGCCACCACTCAGCCGTCAGGGGCGCTGCCCGGCTGGCTAAACCAGAGACGGCATGCAGCCTGGCGTGACCATCGCCTCCTGGGGGCACACGCCTAACAGTGAGGTCATCGCTGTGTTAACACTGCGGCACGCAAGGGTGTAGCAGTTCACAGAGGTCGATCCGATGAGGAAATAGCAAGCGTGTGAAGGCTTTTCAAATCTTATTTTATAATTCTGAGCTGATCCATGCCACGGCACAGGACTCGCGGTGTGGCCCAGAGTCTCACATCGGCCCTGAGCATGGTCCCAAATGGTCCTGAGGCTAAAAACGGAAACAGGCCGAACGTGGAGAGCCTCAGGGACAGCCGAGTGGGCGATACCTGGGCGAGGATGGCGGCCTTCTGTCCTGCCGTCACCCGGATGGCCTGCTGGGGCACCGGTGTGGTTGAAGACGTGCTGTTCCCTCCTGAAGGACCGGACCCAGGCTTCCCGGTCCCCGGCGCCACCGGCTGGCCCACCAGAAATGTTCCCTGGGAAGATGGATGAGAGCTGCAGTCAGGGTGGTAAAGTGGAGCGCACTCTGCGAAAATGCCCAGGGATGGCGGGCCCTGGGGTAGCGGGCGTGTGGGTAGCGGGCGTGTGGGTAGCCAGGAACTCTGGAGGCCCCCAGCAAGAACAAAGGATTTCGACTGAAAGGTCGACAGAAACTCGATGTTCTCCAAGCGGAACTCTGGTGTCCATGGAAACACATGGGCTGCCACAGTGTAAAGAGTACGGCACTGTGTATGTGTGTGTGTGTGTGTGTGTGTGTGTGTGTGTGTGCTCTCGCAGTGGGTATCAGCATGAAGTGATTAATGTCACATCACACTCAGAATGAATGCAACTGACTGAGTGCTTTTACTTACCATTACAAAAGCAAATGCTTCTCTTCTGTGTGTGTGTGTGTGAGAGAGAGACTGATAGATCTGCTGAGAGTTCCCCTCGCAATCCATTTCTCTTTCCCTTGACACAGCTGAAGCCTCAAACAGGAGGCTCAGCTGGAAATTCATGTCCTTGAAACCTTTATTTTTATTTTATGTTATTTAGCAGAGGCTTTTATCAAAAGCGACGTACAAAACCAGGGTCAGACACTCCCAGGTGCGACTGCGTGTAAAGAGCCTTGCTCAGGGTCACAATGGGGAAAATCACCCTTGCAACTCTGGGATCTGAACCTGCAACCTTCCACTCATGGGCACAGAGGCCTCATCCGTAGAGCCACACGCCCCCCTTAACCGGGACAGGGGGGATGAATGATGTCGGCGATAGACAGATGAGGCCCGTCATACCATCGATAAGTGAACATAACTGAATGGAATGTTGGATTTTGGATGGGTTGATTGTTTTATTATTCTTGAACACAATATGGGAGCTAGAGATTCCCAGCTGTATGCAGTACCAGCTCGCTTACAGTATATGCTTTAAAAAGATGAAAATAAACTGCAGTGCCCTGGTGCTCAGAGCACACGTACCTGCGGAGTCTGTTTGAGGATGTACGAGGTGTAGGACAGGTTTGAAGGCAAGCTGCTGCTGCTGCTGGTGGAGGGAGGAGCTTGGGAAGTCCCTGCCCCCGATTGGGGCGTGGCCTGTGGCTGCTGACCTGCAGTTGGAGAGCACAGCCTGTCACCTTCAAATCGAGGGCCAGGTATGGCGATGCGGCCAATGGGGAGAGCAGAGGAGGGGCTGACCTGAGGGATTGGAGGCACGCAGAATGGCCCCCTGGGGGATCAGAAGCAGCTTGCCCTTGCCAGAGGGGTTCTTGCTGTTGGTAGTCAGGTAGAGCTTAGTGCCAGGGGGCAGGTTGGCCAGGCTGGCCAGGTTGTTGGCTGGAAGCTGGAGAGTGGCCATGACTGGAGAAACATTGTGAAGGGGGACAGAGGCGGGAGGAGAGACAGTCACAATTAACGTCAGATTTAACGTTTACTGAACGTCGAGGCCTCAATTGGCCGAATTTTCTACAGCTCCACGGAGGTCTGAGTGCCCCCACCAACAGGGAATCTGGCTGGTGAGCGAGAGGGAAAAAGGGGGCTGGGGGCGGGGTATGTCGGGACACAGAGAGGCGCTCAGCTGCCAGCCCCCATAGCAAGATCGATCCCTCCCCCCTCCACCCCCAGGCCCATGTGACACGTCCTCCCCCCTCCCCCAACTCTCCTGTGGCCAAGGTCATTCTCATTTTGCAATGAATAGCCTCAGTCAGACAGAGAAACAACAACAACAAATCTCTCTCTCACACACACAAACACACACACACAAACACACACACACACACACACAAACACACACACACACACACACACACACACACACACNACACACACACACACACACACACACACAGTTCACGGTCTAGTTCCCACCCTCGATTCCATCATGGTGCAGCCCTTGACTTGTGTGGACAATCAGCAATTTTGGTTGGGCATCAACACTTGTATCTGATACTTTCTCTTCATGGGGTAAATGCTAATTGAACTGAAACAGGAGTTGGGATTGGCTGTATACTTCAAGGATTCAAGCCAAAATCCGATAAAGGGGTATTCATCTCTCACCCCCCCCAAACCCAGCCATGTTATAATGAATAGTAGAAAAAATAGCTTCTTCCACCAGTACCTTCTATGCCAAAAACTTATACGGCAAAATTGCAAACTACGATAAAGCTCTATATGCTAACCAGTACCGCGCCCCAGTGGCGAGGAACAGGAGAAGAGGAACAAGAAGCATTAAGGCCTGACCAGGTAACCCCACTGACCCCTGGTGGTAGGAGGATAAAAGTACCTAGGGGAAAGTGGTTCCTGGAAAGCTTTACCTGACCCCTGGCCTCCAGCTTTAGCAGCTCCAGAAGAAGTGGCTGTTGCCTTGGTGACCGTCTGCACCTGCTGGCCCACGATGCTGCCGCCAGCCCCGCTCACGATGGCCTTGGCCACACCCTGGGCAATCACCTGCTTCTGTCCCATCACCTTGGAGACAGCCGGGCTGGACTTGGCCACGAGGATCTGCCCACTGCTGATGGCCACCTGCTTCACAGCAGACTGCAGGGCTGAGCCAACAGGGATTCCAACCACCTTGAGGGAAAGATGGGAGGAGCATCATGGGAAATGTAGTTCTGGCACAAGTACGGCACATACATCAACCATACGGTACATACATCTACTGCACACACCTTGTTCTGAGTCATGCCGGGCGCAGCAGGTCCAGCACTCTGCTTCTGCGGCGACACAGCAATCACGTGCCCTCCCTTCACTGCCACAAACTGTTGCGCGGCTGCGTGCTGCGGCGTGGCTGCAGAAACCAGCACCTGCTGTACTGGCTGCTGCGGTGTTGTGGACACCTCCCCCGGCTCCTGCTTGATGATGACCTGGGGGGGAGGGGGGAACGAGACCAGGAGAAATGGAGATCCTCAGACAGGTGGCCTGATGATATTCAGCCACGGTCTAACTGTATTCAGTTCTGGTCAATGTTTCTTTAGTCACAGTCCATGTCTATTCAGTCACAGGCCTTATTTCTTCAGTTATGGTCCATGTCTATTCAGTCACGGTCCATTTTTCTTGTCAGGGTGCATATCTATTCAGTTACGGTCCATATTTTTCCAGTTATGGTGTACATCAATTCAGTCACGGTCCATATTTCTTCAGTAATGGTCCATGTCTATTCAGTTACGGTCCATATTTCTTCAGTCATGGTACATGTCTATTCAGTCACAGTCCATGTCTATTCAGTCATGCTCCTAAATGGCCATCACCACAATATTCTCCTCTCACTGTGAGTGTGCATTCACCCCCCCTCCTTATTATCCCAAAGCTGAAGCAAAGTGACGGTTTGCATTTGCATGCAGCCTGACTAAATCCTGCGTGCCCAGGCAGGCCCGGGCATCGCTCTATGGCCCCGTGGAACAGGGCAGAGAGGCGTCCCAGTTAAACCGCACGCGATGGGCCAAGATTATTAATACTGCAGCTTGTAGGGGGGGGGGAGGCTATGGGGGACCTTAACCCAGAAACACTGGAACAGGAAGGTGCTCCCCTTGACCGGATTCAGCTGCTAGGAAGGGGCAGGAAGGGGGGGGAATGTGTGGAGACCCAGCGGGATGATAAACAGCACGGCATGCGCCTGTGAGGGAGGGGCCCGCCTGAGCATGGACGAGAGGATCATGGGAAAAGAGGCACATCCCCCAGGGGCTACAGTCCCCCCCGCCAGGAAGCAGGGCTGCTAAACCGCTCAGGAAATACCGGAAGCCGTCAGCTTCAGATACTCGTTTACCTTCACCCCGGAGGACAGGAAGCTTCCGGCAGGCACCTTCGGGGCTGGGGAGTGGGTTCCTGGGGATGCCTGGACCGCGGACGTCTGCTTGCCCGTCGGACTGCCTGGAAAAAGAAGCCCCTGGTCACTGTGGAGAGCTGTGGCTGTACTGGGCACCAGGAGAGTGTGCAGAAGAATAGAACATATACAGGCTACCTGATGGTTAACAGGAAGTGCTCAGACAATGCTCAGGCACAGCACAGTCAGTGTAAATAAAGTGAGGTGGGCGGGGGGTGCAGTATGCACTCAGTCACCCACCCCGGGTTTTACTGTCCAGATCAAACTGACAAGCACATTAAGATTAATCATGCAACAGCGCCCGGGTTCGACTCTGCTGGGCCAGGAGGGGGCAGCGGCGCACCTGCGGAGACGGCGGCGCTGGGGGAACCCATGCCGGCAACCAGACCGGGCTTGTCCACAATGATGTACGGGTTGTTGATGACGGACGATCCCTGCTTCATGTGCACGGGCGTGGAGGTCGGAGTGCGGGGGAGGGGCGAGTGGCTGGGGGTGGAGATGGGAGAGCCTGGGGAAAATCGCGGGAATCACACAAACACCGCATAACTGCCAACGTCTCTGGCACAAGGCCTGCCAGAAAAAACTGTATAAGTACAATCAGATCAAGGACTATTTATAAGCTTGGTGGATCGTTTTTGGTAGTCATAGATAGAAACTTAGACAAGAATTTTACATCTGAAGACTTTTAAGATGTAAAACGCATAAGAGAAAAGTATTCCTGAAATTAGAGGAGAGACACTTGAGATGTTGAAATCATTCCCGAAGAACCAGCGGCGTCCCATTCCCACAGTGACGTACCAGACACAATCTTACAGCTCATGGTGATTGGCTGGAATGACTTCCCGGGAGACTCCGCGGGATTGGGGGCCTGTCCCTGCGGCACGATCTTGCAGCTGGCCGTGATTGGCTGAAAGGCGGAGTTGCTGTGGGAGCCTAGAGTGATCTTCTCCAGGACCTTGGGGCGGGACGGGGTGCGGTCGGAGGACAGGAGGCTGTAGCTGCCCGAACGGCCAAGCTCACTCTTGGTGGGATGACCTGTGGGTGAGAAAAGGGTTAGGGTTAGGGTTAGGGTTAGGGTTAAGGTTACCACTGGCTCATCAGAGAAGGAGGCTGCCACCTGCCAGCCAACCCCAGCATTAAATTTCACCCCCCTCCCAAACCAATACAAGTACAACTGAACCAATGAATGGAGAATGCAGCTCATCAGCCATCCCAATCAACCAAGAAGATGCCAACCCCACCCCAACCCAACCTCTTCATTATGTCTGGGTCCAGAACATATTTGAAACCCATGACCAATCTAGTGTGTGTTCTACTGGAGAAGAAACTTCTGGCCCATCACTTGGATCACAAGCAATGTCCAGCAGAAGCACTAAGGAAGATCTTGATGGAACTGGAGAAAGTGTGCAACCACGTGGGATCAGTAACATCGAACACTGAAGGAACCTGCAGAACTCTGTTGGGAAGAAGTCTTTGGGGGTGTCAGGGTCACATGGAGTTTGGAGTGTGCCAATGGTACCCATGGAGAACTACCCAGAAACTGAATGGGGGGGGGAGAAAACAGCCACAGACACAAACATAGGCACACGTGCTTGCGAGACAGCTAACCTTTCTCTGTGATGGCGTGAGAATCCTGGGAAATCGACCCCGGGGAGGCTGGGAGCCCTGATGCTGGGAGGGGGGCCTGGGGTGTGGAGGAAGGGAGGTGGGTGGCAACTGCCTGCTGGGAGGAAGATGAGGAGGAAGATGACGAGGAGGAGGAGCAGGGGAAGGAAACAAGGTCCTCCCCCAGGCTGTTCCGGTGCAATTCCACATCCACCACCTGTAAGATAGACAGATAGGAAAAGGATTCAATCGTCTTCTTCTTTGAGCAGGAGACAACTTCACCACCAGCATGACGCCATTGGTCAGAGACAGACAGTAAGACCAATCAGCTCTTTACCAATTTCTATCCAATGACAAACTGACACAAAGCCACATGACCTGGCAACCTGTCTTCCATGACAGAAGGTTTCTGAACTGCTGGATCAAAAAAAATATCCAGCAAAGAAAATTCTTGAGAAAGAATACTTTAGATGTAGAATTTAAAGAGAGAGACCAGTTAAAACCAAAAAAGCCAAAGGTAGCAAATGGTAACTAGTCTTACCGTCTCTGCCCCCAGGGTCTGCAGGCCTGTGTACGTCCTGTCAAGCTGCAAAGGGAGGAAAAGTGAGACACACGTGTTCCCTGCAGGGTAACCCAGTGCAGAACACGGCGCCTAGCCGGAACAGGACTGAGGAACGCGGGGAGCACCGGAACCCCGGGTGAATGTGTGAGCAGGAGGAACGCAGACCTTCAGGTGGTGGATGATATCGACACGCTTGTTCCGGGCGTCTTTGAAATGGATCTGCACGCGAACGGGGAACTCCCCCCAGCCGCGGCGGGTCAGGTGGAACGGGGGCTCACTGGAATACATGGGAAGCAGCATGTGAGAGCACAGAAAGTGTGTGTGTGTGTGTATGTGGTTGTGTGTGTATGTGTGTGTGTGTGTGTGTATGTGTGTGTATGTGTGTGTGTGTGTATGTGTGTGTGTGTGTATGTGTGTGTGTGTATGTGTGTGGTTGTGTGAGTGTGTGTGTGGTTGTGTGTGTGTGTGTATGTGAGTGTGTGTGTGGTTGTGTGTGTGTGTGTCTGTATGTGTGTGTGTATGTGAGTGCGTGTGTGTGTGGTTGTGTGTGTGTGGTTGTGTGAGTGTGTGTGTGGTTGCGTGTGAGTGTGTGTGCGTGTGTGGTTGTGTGAGTATATGTGTGTGTGTGTGTGTGTGGTTGTGTGAGTGTGTGTGGTTGTGTGAGTGTGTGTGGTTGTGTGAGTGTGTGTGTGGTTGTGTGTGTACGTGTGTGTGTGGTTGTGTACGTGTGTGTGAGTGTGTGTGGTTGTGTGTGTGTGTGTGGTTGTGTGAGTGTGTGTGTGTGGTTGTGTGAGTGTGTGTGT